AAAAAAGTAGTACTTGCACCCAACACATTAGTGAAAACAGGGTAGTGGGTATGGGACCATGATAGATAGTGGCTCATGTCACACTAACAGTGATAAATATTGTGTAGCCCAGCACTAGAAATGCTAAACAAGAAGGCCTTGCAATGTAGCTCATGGTATGAATGATACGGTTGATTTTGATGATTCCAAAAAAGTTGGTTCATCACACAATAAGGGTCTTCCTGCAACTGATAAATATGGTGTCTCTGCATTTCCAACATTTTTGTCTGAGAAATATAGTTTAGGCATTTTTTTTGGAATGGGTGGTTCTAAACAAGGAAAATGTCCATCTCAGAATTGCAAGGGTAGGATTGAAAAGGGTTCAAAAAGGGGTGTTACTTTCAATGAACCAAGAAAGAAAAAGGTTATTATGCGCAAAAGCTTCCTTCTCATTGACCACAACCTAGGCCAATCTCTACTAACTGAAGGTAACCTCACAACACCTTTCTCTTCGGGACCTCATATCTCCACTGCTATAAAATAGGGTGGATATAGGGTTATTTGAATCGCCCAACTCGCCCAATCTAAACCGATCTGCATACAAATTGGCGGTTTCAGGGACAGATGCGGTTTGAAATATGACATTATTGCGGATTGCGGGTTCGGCCGCCGATAAGGCCTTCAATTAGCAGTTTAAACATATAAGCATGAACAGATAATCAGACAATCAAACAGATGGAATGCAATTAACTAACATATACTCAGTCAATTCAGTTTCAATTTCAGTCAGTCAGTTCAGTATTTCATTCAGTTCGATTATCAGTCAATTATCAGTCATTATCAGTTTCGTTTAACAGTAATCGGTCAGTCATTAATCGGTAAACAGTATGAGGGTTGTTACAAGCTTGATCAAGAGGTTTTGTCCTGTCTGTTCTTCCCACAGACGGCGCCAATTGTACAGGAAAGAAATAAACCTTCTCGTATAATCTTGTTGATCAACTCTGCGCTCCTCCGTACGAAGATTTGATCAACAGGATTATACGAGAAGGTTTATTTCTTTCCCGTACAATTATATTAGATTTTCTTAAAATTTTTAATTCATATAGCACTTGGCTCCATTTTTATCATAAATTTGTTAATCATATAAATAAAAAAATAATTTTGTCATCTTATTTACACTGAAATATATATTTTATCTTATTCATCTTTTTGTTTTCATACTATCTACATCAATTTCGATATTTTTAACCTTACTATAAAGGAGCTTCGTGTAATTATGTTAAAATTATAGGACTTATTATATTTTTTCTAAATTTCAAAGGAGGTTAATGTAATTTACCATTACTTAAAATATCCAAAACTTATGCTATTAGCGAAACATTTACTTAAATTTGAGTTTCGTTAGAGTGATTCATATCAAATAAAATTTTTATTCGAATTTGTGTAAATTTTTGTGTGATAACTTGAGATGGCCTTAATGTGCCTAGCTATTGATTGAGGTGTTAACAATGAAATAGTTACAAATGGGTAAAATTTATCCCTTGAAAGGACCAAATTGTCTCTCATCTTCCTTTCACACTCCTCATTCTCCTCCTTTTCCCACTACAACTCCAGTTATTGACCATTACTACCATTCCCTTCCTTGTCACCCCAACCCTTCCCCACCTTCCCCTGCTAGCCCCACTAACATCGCCACCCCTTCCCACTAAACAAACAACCTCCAAACTCCAACTACTGCAGCCATCCTTAACCTCTCAACACCTTTCTCTTCGGGACCTCATATCTCCACTGCTATAAAATAGGGTGGATATAGGGTTATTTGAATCGCCCAACTCGCCCAACCTAAACCGATCTGCATACAAATTGGCGGTTTCAGGGACAGATGCGGTTTGAAATATGACATTATTGCGGATTGCGGGCGGGTTGCGGATTTTACCTGCATCCGTAAAAACCCACCCGCACTTAAACTTTTATTTTTTATTTTTTTATGATGGAGTTTGCGAGTTTGCAAATGTTTTTATTTTATTTAATGGATTTGAATTGCATGAAATTTGACAATAATTTATTGTTATTTTATTATTACATTTTGGATGAATGTAAAAGTTAATGAAAAATTACTTTTAGATAAGTTTAAGATTTTGAATGATTTTACTTTAATTGTATTGTTAGGTAGTGAATGATTTTGATGATTTAGTTTAGGATTTTGAAAGATGCGCATGTGTTAGGTTATGATTTTATTTAAAAGTTTAGAATTTTGAATAATTTGTATGTGTTAGAAATTGATTTTGTTGTGTTTTTAATTTTATAAGTTTTAATTATTAAATGTTGAGCATTTTAGAAAATTGGGGGGCAAAGTGCCCAAAATAAATATTTACAAAATGGGAAGGAAAAAAAAAAAAAAGAGTCAAAAATAAAATTTTAAAGAAAAAAGTCAAATCCGCAAACCGTCTGCACATCTGCGAACCTTATCTACACAAACCACAACCTACACTGCAAGCGGTTGTAGGTTCAATTTTTTTCAAACCACACATATGCTAGCACATCCAAATCGCAAACCGAACCGTCCAAAACCGAACCGCGAGCATCCCTACTATAAAACATGTTTCGTGCCATGCAAAACATGTTCGGTGCAATTTTCATTTGTGCTCAATAAAAATACAGTATATTCACGAGTACAAGTGCAATATGTGTCTGGTATAAGTGCAAGCTATGTGGGTTTTCACAATTATCAATTGCATTTTGCGCAAATTGCACTTGCACTGATCACAAGTGCTTGCAACTCAGTTAAAAAAAAGGTAGTACTTGCACCTAACACATTTAGTGACAACAGGGTAGTGGGTATGGGACCATGATAGATAGTGGCTCATGTCACACTAACAGTGATAAATATTGTGTAGCCCATCACTAGAAATGCTAAACAAGAAGGCCTTGCAATGTAGCTCATGGTATGAATGATACGGTTGATTTTGATGATTCCGAAAAAGGTGGTTCATCACACAATAAGGTCATGTTTGTTTGGGTGGACATGAGTTTGGGATTGGATTAATAGTCCAATAAAATTATTAATCCGATATTTGGTTAAACAATTGAAATACGGACTAATTATTTTAAACTTGACTATTAGTTAAGATAGGATACATAATCCAATGAATTCGTAGTCCTAGGACTATTAGTCATGAGAATGCTAATTCAGTCCGCCCAAACAAACATGGCCTAAGGGTCTTCCTGCAACTGATAAATATGGTGTCTCTGCATTTCCAACATTTTTGTCCGAGAAATATAGTTTAGGCATTTTTTTTTGGAATGGGTGGTTCTAAACAAGGTTGCACCCAACACATTAGTGACAACAGGGTAGTGGGTATGGGACCATGATAGATAGTGGCTCATGTCACACTAACAGTGATAAATATTGTGTAGCCCATCACTAGAAATGCTAAACAAGAAGGCCTTGCAATGTAGCTCATGGTATGAATGATACGGTTGATTTTGATGATTCCGAAAAAGGTGGTTCATCACACAATAAGGGTCTTCCTGCAACTGATAAATATGGTGTCTCTGCATTTCCAACATTTTTGTCCGAGAAATATAATTTAGGCATTTTTTTTTGGAATGGGTAAACAAGGAAAATGTCCATCTCAGAATTGCAAGGGTAGGATTGAAAAGGGTCCAAAAAGGGGTGTTACTTTCAATGAACCAAGAAAGAAAAAGGTTATTATGCCAAAAACTTCCTTCTCATTGACCGCAACCTAGGCCAATCTCTACAAACTGAAGGTAAGTTTAGATTCCTACATAGTTCTAGCTTGTCGGTTGTCGAGGGCAAAAAAAAAGTCATCGCAATCTGACATGCAAGTAGTTCTCAGCCAAATGTCCAAGCTGATCAGTCGAATGGCTACAAACTAGAAGTTGAGGATTCGGTCACCCAAACCCAACACCACAACACTTGGAGGGTAGTTCATTATCACAGCATTCCCAAGTTTCGAGTGATTGCTACAAACCCCAACACCACAACACTTGGAGGGTAGTTCATTATCACAGCATTCCCAAGTTTCGAGTGATTGCTACAAACCGGCAATTGTGGTTGACCCAACACCACAAAACTTGGAGGGTGGTTCATGATCACAACTTTGTCCCCTAGTTTTGAGTGATTGTGAGGAGCACACACAGATGTTGGATTCTAAGAGAACGGTCATAATTCGTAGGGAAGGCTCTAAAAGCATCCTAGCACCCAGACACTATCCTAAGGGTCCTCGAGGTAAGATTGGCGTTGAGTCCGTTCATGCCCATGTCCACGACCATGAAAAGCGAAAGAGGAAACCATGTATCGAAGACACCTTCAGCTATTCCAACCTTTATTGAACTCCCCAACGACGGGCTATTCTACTCCAATTATTAATTGTTTGTGCTGTTGCTTTTATAAATTTTGGATTTCTATGCTGGAGTACAATATTTTCAAGTGGCAATTCTGGAGGTCCTTCATTTTGGTTTGGGCTATGGTTTGCTTAGGTTTGGTTCCTTGTTGTCTTCTATGTTCGGTTGTCTTAACCCTCTTTTTCTTTTCAGAGTCTGCTAACTGTTTGCATGTTGAAAACTTTGTTTCATGGTGCCTTATTAATGCAGTTTATCATTTCTTAAATAAATAAATAAAAAAAAAAAAGAAAAGAAAAGAGAGGGCCAATATTTGACATCTTACAGGTTAAAATGCTATCATTTAACAATTTTGTTATAATGATACAAACGTCATTTCATCTATTTTCTTCATAAAAAGAAATATTATCTGTGAATCTCATCACTGAAGACGTTAAGACCGTTTTGTTTTGACAATGTTATAATTTAGAGAAAGTAATGCTGAACCATTAAATATAGTTTTTGAAAGTTATCAAAGTTTTTTGCCAAATTGACTTTTAACAAGTGCTTTAGGACACCATCACTAGAAATGCTCCACAAGAAGGCCACCCACCATTGTGTAGCCCATCACCATTTGATTATAAACAAACAAACAAACAAAGCAATAAATAAATAAATGCCCTCAACACAATCACAACTATCTTATACAGAAAATCTGATCAATAAAGCATTTTACCCCTATTTTACTTTGGCTAAAAGTATAAGCAAAGCCTCATGTCTGCATAAGATGGTAGATTAAAACTAACAGCCAAGAGTACTAAGGTAAAAACTAACTGGACAAGGGTTCTAAGGTTTATAGAAGCAATTGAGAATATTTCCCAGAAAGCAGTCTCTGGCTAGTCTGTAAACTTAAAAACAAATTAAAAAAACTCCCTCTGGAGTTCTTGCTTATAGTACGCATTGGTACGCTATAAGCATCTCTAAAACCATACTTTTACATACAGTTTACAATTTAGCTACAAAGACAATTTCAAGAAGCGGGTATTGGGGAGAGAAGTGTTTGAACGGAGGAGAAACTTACGGAAAAAAGTACACACATCTTAGGAAACGAAAAGGACTTAGTTTATGTATTACAGACATCTACTAATGTACAGAATGATACGGCTTTCTGAGAAAAAACCCTCTCTATCCTCAACCATTCAGAAAAGTCACTGCCGAGGAACCGGCTGTGTTGTTGGCTGATGACTTTGCCCATAAAATCCAATACCCGGAGGCCTGTAATACCCTCCATTAGTCGGTGGCTGCGGAGACTGCTGCTGCTGCTGCTGGGACTGCATCTGTTGCGGTTGCTGTGGCTGTGGGGCCGGTCTTGCTAATCCCATTGCAATATGCGAAGGCAGTGGTGGTGGAGGTGGCAAGCTATTACCTCCATATCCGTAAGGCATAATACCCATCATCATACCGGCAGATTGAACAAATTGATTTGCCGGTGAATTTGCAGGAGGTACCGGAGGAGGAGGTGGGGGTGGAAATGGAGATTGCATCGGGTTCATGGGTTGGATACTTGTGGGTGGGACAAGTGGCATAGTACCCATCGGCTGCTGTTGAAGAGAAGTAAAATAGCTCGTATTACCAATTTCAGAATTATTAGCATCTGCAGAAGACATTGGTTTGTCTAACTTCATCCGTTTCTCTGGAGAGAACATGGGTAAATTAGAGATGAATCCAGCTGATTTTAGACCGCCACTCACAGAGGCAGCCTCCTCGGCTACAAGAGATGAGAGAACAGATGTAAGCATCTGTGCAGAGGATGTAGAAGCAGTAAGCTTAGCAGCTACAGCAGCTGCTGTTGCCTTCTTGTTCTCTTCTTCGCTTGTCCACTGAGCTGCAAAAGACATCACAGGTGGTGCCAATGGTGAGCTGGATGGATGAACTAAAGGTAAAATGGGTTCAACCTTTATACTGGATTCTATCTGTTGCTTAGTCATGTTGAAGGAAGCAGGAACGGGTGGTGATGTCAGCCTCTGCTTCATATTGCTCATTTGCTCAATCTGACCTCGGGCAACCTGCACACCCATAGACAAATGTCACTGTTTATCCCAGTAAAGCAACTGACGAATTCCAATTTTCATGTTGCATGAGTACAGACAAGCATTTTTTACGGAATATTTAATCAAGAGACTACAATTATGAATTAGCAATGATATCATGATTAGGGAAACAAGCGTTCACACAAGGTGTCTGACAAAACAGTACCAATAAAGCCTCCACTATGGTAGATTGTTTTTGCAAATATGTGAATGTATCACGTGGAATATGTTGCACACGCACATGTTTCAACCAGAAGATGCGAAGGAAATCATCATTGGTAGTCAACCACATAACGGTAGAAGTGTTCAGCAAAATGGTGTTTGTTTGTGCAGTGATATTAGGTTGGAAATGTAAGATAAAATTGGTGTTTGTTGCACTAGTGTGGTGCGGTGATATTAGTTGGTTGAGATTAAATCTATGAAATTGTGTAAAAGCCTTTTATTAGAAAAAGGTGGCTTTGTTGTTTTTGTAAAGCGGGTACAAAATAGTCTTTTCACCTCTAATACCATGGGACAGGATTAGCAATCCTGCCGTCCACATGGGAATACTAATACATTATTGGGGGGTATTCATAGTCCTGTGGGACTCTTAGCTCCATCCCATTTTCCCCAACCAAACATATATTTTGTGGGGCCTACAGGATTGCCAATCAAATCACATGGCTATTGGAGTCAAAACAAACATGGCCATAGAGTTTAGTTGAAGAAAATTTCAACCATCATGGATTGATAGCCTTTCCCTCCATGGTATTCAAAACACATCTGAAGTGACCTCCATGTAAAGAGGTCAGAGTTTCCTTGCTGTGGCAATGGGAAGGTTATTACAAAAATTTAGGGGAAAGCATAGTGTCAAATTGGGGTACGCACCGTGCATCGTTTTTCTTTTTTCTTTTGCTCTTGTATCATATCACATCGTACGATTTGTTAACATCTTTAAAAATTGGTGGAAAATATAAATATCTTGTGAGAATAAAACATAAGCAAATGTAAAATCATTAATAATAATATTATACAAGGTTCCTAGAATTAAAAATATGCATGCATCAATACTAAATACCTAAGAAGCATGGACACAGATACAAGAATGGAAATTTTCAAAAAATTGGGATATGGAGAGGGGATACAGCATAAAAAACATCTTTTTTTATATATTTTATTTGGAATGTATACAAATATTACATCTACAAATAACTAAAAATAACACTAATTCAACATAAAAAAATAATTCAATCTATACGTTTTAACTTTATCAAATATAAAAGAAAACTGTTTTAACTCGTATCAATCATAAACTATCATATCAGAGTTGTTTGCCTTATCCACATCAGAAATTGTGGGTGTGCTACTAGTCTAAGCAAAGAGGTGGACACATTTTCCTGTAATCATTACAACTAAAAAAAATAAAAAAATTCAACTATCAAACACCAATTTAAAATGACAATTTAACGTCAACCATCAAACACTAACTCAAAAATTAGGAAAGAATGCCACTTAATTATTGTTCAAAGAATAAGGAAGACAATACTACTTAGTGATAATTAACATAGACATCATGTTTACATAGTGATGATTATGAATTTATGATGGTCTTTTTTACAACTCATGGCAAGATAATTGTCTTTGGCTCACATCTAGAGGCAAGGTACACATGTCCCCAACATGTTTGGGTAGAGAAAAAATAATTAAAAAATGATACACACCACGTGGCATGTCCAAGGCTTGTTGGTGTCCAACACGTCAGATACAACTATGGCAGAAGCATCCATGCTTCATAGCTTAACAGAGCGGAGAAGTAAATTTGGAATAACAAATTATATATATAGCACTTTAGTACATTACTGTATTCTCAAATCAAATTTACCCACAATTTTTTTCTTTTTTCTTAATAATTATATAATAATATGTTTTCCATTATTGTCTTCAATCGCTCTTGATGTTTTTAAATTTTAATTTAAAATTATTATGTACTCAATTAGTTTATTCATGATAGAAATTTCAAGCTTTATTCGATGTAGCCGGGTATAAATTAATAGCACAAGACAATTAATACCATATAGGTAAATATTTGTAAAAAAAAGTATCCTTGTCATCTTTAACAATATTTTTTTAATGTTGATGAACTTTTCTAATGACTTTAATTTCAAAAACATAAGCTCAGTTACTTTTTTCCCAAAATTGTTAAAGAAAATTTAAGCATATATCATATGTATCGCATATCGTATATAACCTCATGTATCATATATGTGTTGCAAGATACATTTAATACAAGATACCTATTGGCAATATGTATCGACTTAACTCTAAATATATTGAATCATAAGATATTAACAACATTGGGAAAAAAAGTGTTATATAAGAAAAGGTTGGTATAAAATTAGATGAGTATAAGAAATAAGAAAAGACATAATTCATGCAACCAATACAAAGTTGATATGAACAGGTAACTGTCAATGACTATTCAAAAGACAATGAAGAGCCCAAGAAAAGGTAAAAACTATATCACTATGATGATAAATGTGGACATGGATATGGGTATATAGTGAGTAAAATGCATACATTTAATCAATTACTATGTATCCAAAGTTTCGTGTTAGCAATTGCATAACTTAGAAAGCTAGAGATAAGTAGATATGATATGCATCTAGGGCTGCAAATGAGCCAAGCTTTATTATGTTTGGGTTTGTTTATTAAGATTTTAGAGAGTTCAATCTCCAGCTCAAGCTCGAGCTTAATAAAAATTTAACGAACTGTGCTCTAGTCAAGTTGGCTTGGGCTTGACTCGAGCTCAAGTCTGTTCACGACCCTTAACAAGCCAAAGAAGTTATAAATTCATACTTGTGTATGAGACTAAAGTTACAATTGAAACTTTGATTATACAATTATATATAAAATATATATAATCATAATAAAAAAAAAGTCAACATCTTATCAAAATAAAATATCTACCATAACTATTATATAAATAGAGTATCTATAGTTAGCTATTATTTACATATAAACAAATTTAGCTATTATTTACATTATTTAAATATATAAACAACATATTTATCTTGTTTATACATATTTTTACATTATTTACTATATAAATAATATATTTATTCTATTATTTAAATAAATGTTAAATGAGCCGAGCTAACGAGAAGAGCTTTAGTATGTTTGGGATTGTTTATTAAGATTTTAACAAGCTCGAACTCAATAAAAATTTAACGAACCGAATTCAAACGAGCCCTTACCGAACCGAGCTCGAGCTTGTTCATGAATGACTCAGTTCATTTGCGGCTCTATATGCATCATAACATCAGATATATTACATTTCATATTACATTTTCATTCCCATGACCATAGATTCATTTCCTTTGTTATTTCTGTGGGTTTTTTTTTTTCTTTTTTTTCCTTTTCTAATCAGCAAAAAAAGCTACATACTTCTCAGAGCTTTTGTCTTTATTGTGTTGTTTCCAAATTTGTGTCTTCTTTTTTTTTTTTCATGTCCATCTACTGTAGGAGGATCCAAAAAGTCCACAAATAAATAAATAAATAAAATCCAAAAAAAGTTGACTAAAGCCAAAAAAGCTAACTTTTTTTTGTCTTTGGTGAACTTTTTCCTTCCTTTTTTTGATCTGTGTAGTGAAGTATAACCTAGAAGTGTAAAGCTTCTTGAATTTTGTTTTTTTAAAAGGGAAATTTGGCTATAAACCCCCTTTACCTTCCTTTCATTGTTAAAAGGACTAAGAAAAAAATTATACTTTCTAAACCCCCTCATAATAATAAAGTCTTGCATAAAGGACAAATTTATTATTTAAATATTTTATATGCCTATTATACCCACTCTCTTCCTTTCCATAGATGGCCTCTTCAAGAAGACCGGTGAGCTCTGCAACTTGTGCGGCACCGAAGCCGCCGTCATCACCTTCTCCAACGCCGGCAACACCTTCGCCTTCAGCAACCCCTCCATCGACTCTGTCCTCGACCGTTACCTCTCCATGACTTCATCATCCTCCAGAGCCTCCGCAAGCTTCTCTTCCCTCTTTCGATATAGGGTTTCAACTCAAATCTGTGCACCATGAACGATTCCGATCTCTAATCTCCCGAGATATATAGATATATGTATATCTATATATATGTGTGTTTGTGTGTTTTGAGATTTGAATTCGAATATATATATATATCTACATATTCCGATCTGTAATATATATATATATATATGTGTGTGTTTGTGTGTTTTGAGATTTGAATTCGAATATATAGATTTATGAAAGCTCAAAGTTTTAAAAATCTGTAAAATCTGAAGAACCGGAGTATGAAAAATTGAGATTTCTCTAAAATTTTCAGATTATAGGCCTGATTCAAGGATTATAGGCATGACTCAATGTTTTTCAAAGTAAACATCGATTGATTCAAGGATTATAGGCACTCCACTAAACCTAACCCACTACACCACTACCATCTCACCTACTCCACTAAACCTAACCCACTACACCACTACCATCTCACCTACTCCACTAAACCTAACCCACTACACCACTACCATCTCACCTACTCCACTAAACCTAACCCACTACACCACTACCATCTCACCTACTCCACTAAACCTAACCCACTACACCACTACCATCTCACCTACTCCACTAAACCTAACCCACTACACCACTACCATCTCACCTACTCCACTAAACCTAACCCACTACACCACTACCATCTCACCTACTCCACTAAACCTAACCCACTACACCACTACCATCTCACCTACTCCACTAAACCTAACCCACTACACCACTACCATCTCACCTACTCCACTAAACCTAACCCACTACACCACTACCATCTCACCTACTCCACTAAACCTAACCCACTACACCACTACCATCTCACCTACTCCACTAAACCTAACCCACTACACCACTACCATCTCACCTACTCCACTAAACCTAACCCACTACACCACTACCATCTCACCTACTCCACTAAACCTAACCCAC